ATGTTCTCCAACCATCCCCCTGAACAAGGCTGCTGCCCTTCAGTGGCTCTTAGTCACTAAGATCTACTCTGAAAGGTGTGAAGCCTGAGATTAAAGAAAGTTAACAGAATTCTCATAATCTGATTAGTAGACAAAGGAAAAGAAAACTAACATTTATCAAACATCTGTGTCCACCTGACACTCTTCTAGGCACTTCATATTATATACGTTGTCTCATTTAATCCTACTGTGTGGTAGTCATCCTTATCCCCATTTTATACATGCAGAAACTACAGTTCGTGGAGGAAAGGTAACTTGACATACAGCTTGTAGCTGATGTCAGGGTGTGACTCTAAAGTTCAAATTCTTTTTACTATATACCACATTGCCTCTATCACTATGGAGGATATTTATTTTCAGAACTGTTCTGTTCTTTTCCAATTTTCTAAAATCACTCTTGTTAATAAGAATAAGGTTTTTTCCCCTTTTTAAGGTATGATAGCAAAAAGGCACCATTCACTAAATTACACTGAACTCTACACATTTAAAAAATGATTAAGGGCCATTTCCGCCCCTCAGTGGCTTTACTGTGATGTAATTTACATACTATAAAATATCTCCTTCACCCATTTTAAGTGTAAAACTAAATGAATTTTAGTATTTTTTTTTTTTGAGACGGAGTCTGGCTCTGTCGCCCAGCCTGGAGTGCAGCGGCGGGATCTCAGCTCACTGCAAGCTCCGCCTTCCGGGTTCCTGCCATTCTCCTGCCTCAGCCTCCCGAGTAGCTGGGACTACAGGCGCCGCCACCTCGCCCGGCTAATTTTTTGTATTTTTTTAGTAGAGACGGGGTTTCACCGGGTTAGCCAGGATGGTCTCAATCTCCTGACCTCGTGATCTGCCCGTCTCGGCCTCCCAAAGTGCTGAGATTACAGGCTTGAGCCACCACGCCCGGCCAAATTTTAGTATATTTTAAAAGTTGTACACTGTCATCACAAACTAATTTTAGAGTATTGCCATCAGTCTTAAAAGAAACCTTAAGGCCGGGCAGGGTGGCTCACCCTTGTAATCCCAGCACTTTGGTAGGCCGAGATGGGCAGATCACAGGTTAGGAGTTCGAAAACAGTCTGGCCAACATGGCAAAAACCTGTCTCTACTAAAAATACAAAAATTAGCCAGGTATGATGGTGCACGCCTGTAATCCCAGCTACTTGGGAGGCTGAGGCAAGAGAATCGCTTGAACCCAGGAGACGGAGGCTGCAGTGAGCCGAGATCGCACCACTGCACTCCAGCCTGGGTGACACAGTGAGACTCCTCTGTCCACTGCCCCCTGCCCAAGAAAAAAGGAAACCTTGTGCCTTTCACATTCAGTCCCCATTTTCACTCTCAGCATCTGATAACCACTCATCTTCTGTCTCTATAGATTTGTCTCTTCTGAATCCTTTATATAAGGAGAACAATATGATATGTGCTATTTGTGTTTAGCTTTTTTCGCTTAGTGTATTTTCAGGGTTCAACATTGCTGAACAGTATCCATTACATGGATATACCACATGTATTAGGCCCTTCTTGCATTGCTATAAAGAAATACCTGAGGCTGGGTGATTCGTAGAGAAAAGAGGTTTAGGCTGGGCGTGGTGGCTCATGACTGTAATCCCACACATTGGGAGGCTGATGTGGGTGGATCACTTGAGGTCAGGAGTTTGAGACCAGCCTGACCAACATGGTGAAACCTTGCCTCTACTAAAAATACAAAAATTAGCCAGGCATGGTGGCGTGCACCTATAATCCCACCTACTCGGAAGGCTGAAGCAGGAGAACCACTTGAACCCAGGAGGCAGAGGTTACAGTGAGCTGAGATCGTGCCATCACCCTCCAGCCTGGGCAACAGAGCAAGACTCCACCTCAAAAAAAAAAAAAAGAGAGAGAGAGGAAAAAAAAGAGGTTTAATTGACTTAGAGTTCTGCAGGCTGTGCAAGCAACGCTCCAGCATCTGCTCCTGGTGAGGGCCTCAGGAAGCTTCCAATCACAGCAGAAGGAAAAGGGAGAGCAGGGATGTCACATGGTGACAGCAGGAGCAAGAGAGCAAAGCGGGAGATGCCATACACCTTTAAACAACCAGATTGCAGATGAACTCACTCATCACCAAGGGGATGGTGCGAAGCTGTTCATGAGAGATCTGCCTCCATGATCCATTCACCTCCCACCAGGCTTCAACTCCAACACTGGGGATGACATTTCAACATGAGATTTGGAGGGGACAAACATCCAAACCATATCACCATTATTTTGGGTTTTGTTTAGGTTTGTTTTTTTGTCACCCAGGCTGGAGTACAGTGGTAGGATCATAGCTTATGGTAAGCTCGAACTCCTGGGTTCAAGCAATCCTCCTACCTCAGCCTCCTGAGTAGCTGGGACTACAGACACGTACCACCATGCTCAGCTATTTTAAACTAATTTTTGTAGAGATGCAGTCTCACTACGTTGCCCAAGCTGTTCTCAAACTCCTGGCCTCAAGCAATCCTGAGATTACAGGAATGAGCCACCATGCCTGGCTGACAGACCACATTCTATTTATCCACTTATCAACAGATAGGCATTTGGGTGTTTTTAGTTTTTGGCTATGGTGAACAATGCTGCTATGAACATTTGCATACAAGTTTTTGTGTGGACAAAAATTTCTTCAGGGTAAGTACCTAGGATTGGAATTGTTGGATCATATAGTAAGTCTACGTTTAACTTTTTTTTTTTTTTTTTTTTTAAATAGAGTCTATTTTGCCTAGTCTGGTCTCAAACTCCTAAGCTCAAGCGGTGCTTCTTCCTGGCTATATTTAACTGTTTAAGAAACTGCCAGACTGTTTTCTCAAATGGCTACACCATTTTACATTCCCACCAACAAAGTATGAAAGTTCTAATTTCTCTACATTTTTGCCAACACTAACTTTTGTCCTCTTTTTTTTTTTTTTTGAGATGGAGTCTTGCTGTGTCACCCAGGCTGGAGTGCAATGGTGTGACCTTGGCTCACTGCAACCTCCACCTCCCGAGTCAAGCAATTCTCCTGCCTCAGCTTCCCCAGTAGCTGGGATTACAGGCACGCACAACCATGCCCAGCTATTTTTCCTATTTTTAGTAGAGAAGGGGTTTCAACATGTTGGCCAGCCTGGTCTCGAACTCCTGAACTCAAGTTATCTACCAGCCTTGGCCTCTCAAAGTGCTGGGATTACAGGCGTGAGCCACCGTGCCTGGCTGTATCTGTCTTTTTTATTCTAGCCATTCTACTGAGTGAGAAATGCTATCTCATGAGGGCTTTGATTTGTATTTCCCTAATGGTTCATGATGTTAAATGTCTTTTCATATACGTATTGGTCATCTGTATATCCTCTTTGGAGAACTGGTTATTCAAATAATTTGCCCATTAAAATAAAAATTTCATCTTTAAGAGCAGTTTTGAGTTCACAGCAAAACTGAACAGAAAATACAGGGTTCCCCTACCCCCCACACACTCAGAGCCTCCCCACACCATCAACATCAGGCACCAGAAGAAACATTTGTTACAAGCAATGGTGCTGTACTGACACACCAGTATCACCCATATCCCATAGTTTACATTTGGTTTCACTCTTGGTGTTGTACATCCTGTAGGGTTTGACAAATTTGTAATAACATGTATCCACCTTTATATCGTCCAGAGTAATTTCACTACCCTAAACATTCTCTGTGCACCACCTCTGTGCATTTCTCCCCACTCCCAGCCCCTGCCATCTTTTTACTGTTTCCATAGTTTTACATTTTCCAGGATGTAATATAGTTGGAATCATACAGTATGTAGCTTTTTCAGATTGGCTTCTTTCACTTAGTAATATGCATTTAAGGTTTCTCCATGCCTTTTCACGGCTTAATAGCTCATTTCTTTCTAGTGCTCAATACAGTTCATTGTCTGGATATACCACAGTTTATTTATCCATTCACCTGCTAAAGGACATCTAGGTTGCTTTCAAGTTTTGGCAATTACAAATAAAGCTGCTCTAAACATCCATGTGCAGGTTTCTGTGTGGACATAAGTTTTCAGCTCATTTAGGTAAACACTAAGAAGTGCAATGGCTGGATCTTCTGATAGGAGTATGTTTAGTTTTGTAAGAAAGCCAAACTGTCTTCCAAAGTTGCTGTATCATTTTGCATTCCTACCAGTAAGGAGAGTTCCTGTTGCTTCACATCCTCACCAGTACTTGTGTTGCCACCCTTGCCCATTTCTAAATTTGGCTATTTGTCTTTTCATTATTGAGTTGTAAGAATTTTATGTATGCTAGATACAAGTCCCTTATGGAACATGTGATTTGCAAAATTTTTCTCCCGGTTTGTAAGTTGTTTAGAGGTTTTTTTTTTTTTTTTTGAGAAAGGGTCTCACTCTGTCGCCCAGACTAGAGTCCAGTGGCGCAATCTTGGCTCACCGCAACCTCCGCCTCCCAGGCTCAAGCAATTCTCCTGCCTCAGCCTCCCGACTAGCTGAGATTACAGGTGCCCACCACCACGCCAGCTAATTTTTGTATTTTTAGTAGAGACAGGGTTTCACCATGTTGGCCAGGCTGGTCTCGAACTCCTGACCTCAGGTGATACACCCGCCTTGGCCTCCCAAAGTGCTGGGATTACAGGTGTGAGCCACCACCCCCAGCTGATATACTCATTTTATAGATGAGAAAACTGAGGCACAAAGAGACTAAGTTACTTTACAGCATTGGGGTTGAAGCCCAGGCAGCTGGTGCCACAGTCGGTTTTCTGACTCTCACAGCACCTATACCATGATATCTACCTCTGTGATTCTAACTGCACCATTGCAGTCCAGCCTAGGTGAGTCTCACTGTCTCAAAAAAAAAAAAAAGGATATATCAACACTATCTCACTGGTGTGTTGTGGGGCCTAGCCAAGTTAATGTACCTAGAAAACTAGAGAACAGTGGCTACTAAGGACATCTAAGGACACTTCATATAAACCTTAAGTGTGTTACAACTTCTTAAGTCAGTCCTGAAGTTCAAAAGCTTCCATTTTATTATTATGCTTTATAATTTATGTATGTTACGTGCTTCCTTTTTTATAGCTCACTTGAATATATACATTTTAAAAGATAATAAGGAAGAAAAAAGTGTATCTGGTCTTTTAAACCTTCGAAATGGGAAAGTTTGGACTAGATGCAGGGGTAAGCTCAGTCCTGGCCCCTGGCCCTTCCCCAGTACTCACAGGCTCCTGTCAACTGCACCTTCAGAAAAAGACCGAGACTCTTAGGCAGGAGTCAGGCAGGTGGGGGGCGATCTGTCACGTGACCTAGACTCTGGGCCACCTGAGTTTCCTCATCTGTAAAATGGGGATGCCGACGGTACCTACCTGACCTGAGAGCGGAGAACACTGAGATATCTTGCCCGTGGCCTGCCCTGTGGTTAGCTGTCCTTTTTTCCTTGACACTTGTAGGTTCCTCTCGTGGGAAAACGCCAGCGAAGAGAGACACCCAGAATGGACGATCTAAGGTTCCGTCCAGCTTCCAAATTCTGGTCTGCTTTTCAGAGATCCAGGGCTCGGGATGCGAATGTCCCTGTCTACGATGGGGCTGCCGTTACAGCCTTCCTCCCGGGGCTCTGGAGACGCGTCGGCGCTTTCACACCTCTCCTGCGCTAAGGAAGAGTTGGTTTACAGAAAAACAAGTATACCCTGGCCCTGCAGAAAGCCGCCAGGCGGCAGGGCAAGCGCCACCGCAGTCCAGGCGCCATTATCTGCCTCAGAAGTTACCTCGGGGGCCCGCCGCGAGGAGGTTCTTCAAGGCCTGCGCGTCCACGGACACTACCAGGGAGCGAGGCGGGCAGCCGCATAGCAGGACGCTGACAGAAGCCCCGCAGTCGCTCGGCGTCCCCGGCGCCAGCTCACCACCCAGCGACCACCCTGCTGCCCGAGCGTCCCCTGGCGGCGACGCCGGCCCGTTAGCGCGACAGATAGGTTAGTCCAAAGGCCAAGCGGCGCTTCTGTAGATGAGCATGCGCAGCCCCCACCCTTCGCTCAGCCAGAGAGAGGCTTCGCAGCCAATCGGAGAGCCTTACAGTCATCCTCCCGCCCACCCAGCATACAGGCGGGGCATTCCCCCTCAGCCAATGAGAAAAGACATTCGCCCGCGAGTCGCACCCGCGGCTAGCAAAGAGGTGGGGTTGTGGAGTGGATACTTTGGCAAGATGGCGGCGAGCGGCGTCCGCCAAGCTGCGTCTACCGCCAGCACCTTTGTGAAGCCCATTTTCAGTCGGGACATGAACGAGGCCAAGCGGAGGGTGCGCGAGCTCTACCGCGCCTGGTATCGGGAGGTGCCGAACACTGGTGAGAGGCAGCGGCTTACGTGGGGACCCGGAGGCCGCCGCTCAAGGTCGTAGCCGGCCCAGCCGGGGTTTCTCATGGGCCGAGCTGAGGTCACCAATTTGGGCAGAGGCGATTGCGGGTGCTTCAGGGGAAGAGCGTCACCGGAGCCTACCATGGGCCGGATCCGGCGGCGGCGCCGTGGTCAGACCGGCCGTCCCCAGCATTCGTACGGTGCCCTCGGAGCTTTGGTCTGTTTTGTCCCCCGCAATTGGCAGGAGGACGAGGACTGTCAGTGACACACTCACTTTGTGGGTGAGGCAGCGGAGGCACCGAGAGGCGAAGTGATGTGCCCAGGGCCCAGGCCGAGCCACTGGTGTACCTGGAACCCAAAGTCTAGAGTTGCAGAGTGTAATTTAGATGCCCGTTGGATTTTTTGTTTTGTTTGTGACAGAGTCTCGCTGTGTAGCCCAGCCTGGAGTGAAGTGGCACGATCTCGGCTCACTGCAACCTCTGCCTCCTGCGTTCAAGCGATTCTCCTACCTCAGCCTCCCCGAGTAGCTGGGACTACAGGCGTTCGCTAGCACGCCTGGCTAATTTTTGTATCTTTAGTAGAGACGGGATTTCACCATGTTGGCCAGGCTGGTCTCCAACTCCTGACCTCAAGTGATCCGCTGGCCTTGGCCTCCCAAAGTACTGGGATTACAGGCGTGAGCCACTGCGCCCGACCTGACTCGGTGTTTTCACATGGCGCGTAATGCTAGTCGGAGAAAGAGGTGTTTGTTTTTTTTGATTTTTTGTTTTTGTTTTGAGACGAAGTCTCGCTCTGTTGCTCAGGCTGGAGGCAGTGGTGCGATCTCGGCTCACTGCAAGCCCCGCCTCCTGGGTTCTCGCCATGCTCCTGCCTCAGTCTCCCAAGTAGCTGGGATTACAGGCGCCCGCCACCACGCCCGGCATATGTTTTTGTATTTTTAGTAGAGACGGGGTTTCACCGTGTTAGCCAGGATGGTCTCGATCTCCTGACCTCGTGATCCGCCCGTCTTGGCCTCCCGAAGCGTGAGAAAGAGGTGTTTTTGAGTGAGCTGGAGCATGGTGCCACTCCTCAGGGCTGTGGAGTCCCTGCTTGTGTGTGTGTGAAGAGGCGGTAGAATGTGGTGGTTAGGAGCATGGACTTTTATTCAGGCGCTGCCCTCAACTAGCTATGTGACTTTGGGCCAGGTATTTCATCTGTTCCTGTTTCTTCATCTTTAAAATGGGAATGATAATTCCTTCTTCAGAAAGTTACTGTATTAAGTTAAAATATCTAGAGTGCTTAAAACAGGGCTTGGTGCATATTTAACTCATTAAATATTAGCTGCTGCCATTGTTTTTGTTGTTATTTTTGTTATTTATAGGGCTTACCTTAGCAGCAGCTTCCAAGCAGAACCCAGTTCTTTGACATATGAGAACCGTCTCTGCCCCACAGAGTCCCTGTCCTCAAGCTGACTTTTGGAAAAATTGCTACTGACCAGAACTTAAACCCACGCCTTACTAGAGAAGGAGAAACTTGAGTGATCCGCTGGTTCAGGGACTGCAAATTCAGATGCCTTCAGGGGCAGGCAGATAAAAGATGTGTGTGGGGAGTGACAGCAGCAGTGTGTATGTGTATGTGTGTGTGTTTTGGGGTGGTGCATTCAAATTCAGAAGTTTGAAAACATAATGTTTACCTGGCAGAATACTTCTAGGAGTACCCAGAGCCCTCTCTGGTTGCAGGAAGAAGGTGCTGGGGGAAGGAGGACCACATTGAAAAAGGGTGGCTTGTGAAGGGTAAATCAGTGGCCAAGTAGAAGACAGAACCCAGGTATCCTGACTCTGAGAATCCAGCTCTTTCTAAACCATCCCCTCCCAAGACCTTCCCTCAAATTCTGTTTTGGGAAGAAAGTCCTAAAGTCAGAAGGGTCTTGAGAGGAGGAAAAGAAGGCAGAGGGTTACAGGAGCCTAAAGAGCAAGGGAAGAGGAGAGAAAAGAAGGGGTCAAGGAGTGTGCATCCCTATGGGGAAGATCAGTGATCTGCAGCTGGCCAGTTACACAGACCTGTGCCACATGGGTTTTATGGTATCCATCATCAGGACTCCAGCTGAGGAATCAAATCAAGGAAGGGGAAAATAGTGTCAATAACTTAGAACAGCCTGAGCATTAATAAACAAAAGTAAAATTTTAAGTATTTAATGAAAAAAATAGTATTGTTAACTCACTTTTTTTTTTTTTTTTGAGACAGTCTCGCTCTGTCTCCCAGGCTGGAGTGCAATGGCGCGATCTCGGCTCACTGCAACCTCCGCCTCCCGGGTTCAAGTGATTCCCCATGCCTCAGCCTCCCAAGTAGCTGGGATTATAGGCGCGCACCACCACACCTGGCTAACTTTTGTATTTTTAGTAGAGATGGGGTTTCACCATGTTGGCCAGGCTGTCTCGAACTTCTGACCTCAGGTGATCCGCTGGCCTCAGCCTGCCAAAGTGCTGGGATTACAGGCATGAGCCACTGTGACTGGCTGATAACTAACGTTTATTGAAATGCTTACATATGACTCAGCACTATGCCTTATTTTAGGGTGGGCTCTAATAGTTTCCCTGCCTTGTAGATGAGAAAACTGAGGCACATAAGTTTGTCTCAGATGACATCGTTAGGAAGTAGAAGAGCCTACCTGTAAACCCCTAATACCCGGCTCTTAGCTTCTACTGCAGTTTTCCCTGAATCTCCCAGGGCCCAGTTTTGCATGGGAGCACAGGGATAGAACTGCCTTTGAATCCTTCCTTGGAAAAAATATGACATGCTGTTTGCTGGTCGTAAGATAACAGGAGACTTTCTATAGAGACAGTTCATTCATTTAACTTCCATTTCATTAAGTATCTGTTGTACTTCAGAGTCAGTACTAGATGCCTAGAGAGATACAAAAATGAATAAAACACAACCCTGCCTTCAAGGGTCTGATGGTCTAGTCTTATGGTCTAGTCTATTATAGGCATTTAACCAGATAATTAAACCCAAGGTATTATAGAGGTATGGGGGAAAAAGTGTGACAGTTTTAACAGCCAGCATTTGGATCATGCTTTACAAGGTGTCACTTGATTTTTCACTATATTCCTGTAAAAGAATTAGGTTAGAGTTTATTTTCTTTCCTATTTTTTTTAGATGAGATGATAGGCTAAGGAGGCTGTACCCCAGGCAAGATCATAATTTATAATGATCTGGAGACCTTACCCAGCTTATTTGACCCCTAATCCCACATTATTTTCCATTATACTATGCTGCCTTCCCATCTAAGAATACAGGCCTTGTGACTTGTATGAATGCAACCAAAATGAATTGGAGCAAATAACTGAGAGCAGTATCCGATTGTCCCTCCGAATCTGTCAGAGCCTTCTGGACTCAAGAAAGCCTTAACAATAACTTCAGAAAAGCACACAGAGACTGTGGAAAAGTCACCTTCACCCAAAAGGGGTACTTCCTTTTGAGCCTCTCAGATTTTTTCAAATTGAAATAGAAGTATTCAGGATTCAAAGAATAAGCCAGGAATTTGTGAGTTGAGAAAGAACAATTGGAACTGATGTACATCAGGGTTTCTCAACAGTGGCATGTGGGCTGGACGATTGCTGTGCAGGGCTGTCCCCTGCATCATAGGATGTTTAGCGGCATCCCTGGCCTCTACCCACAAGATGCCAGTAGCACCCACCCCATGGGTGTGACAACCAAAAATGCTTCCAGACACTACCAAATGTTCTGGGGGGCAAAATCATTGCTGGTTTGCCACAGATTTAGACCAAGGAACGATTCAGTCTATGGCTAGGCTATTTCCATTTGCTTTTCTGCAGCCTTTCTCGCTGGTTGGGGGGTGCATTCAGAGTGTTGGGATGGGAGGAGGGAGCCTGGGACAGACCTATTTGGAATTTGTCTTTCTAGAGACAAGGGTTCTTAATCTGAGGATGGGCACTCAAGGATCTGTAACCTCCTGAAACTGTAAGTAAAATGTTGCATTTATGCATGTGAACATTTTGCTGATGAGAAGATTCATCACCCAGTGCCCTGCTGTGTAGTAGTTCAGGAGATCATGAGGAATGGGAGCTGATGGGCACAAGCTCCCGTAAGTATGCCCAGAGAAATCTTGTTTTTTTGTTCCCAAAGTTGGTCAGGAATCTAAAATAAAAAATGCAGGAAAGATAAGCACTGATAGTAGGGGAAGATTCCTCATAGTCTCTTCCTTAAAAGAGCACTGGATTGTAAAAAAAAAAAAAAAACAAACCCTGGATTCTAGGCACACGTGTACTAAGGACAGGTTTGGTCAGGTGTGGTAGCTTACACTTGTAATCCCAGCACTTTGGGAGGCAGAGGCAGAAGGATCGCTTAAGCCCAGGAGTTCAAGACCAGCTTAGGCAATGTAGTGAGATGCCCGTCTCCACAAAAAACTAAAAAAGTATGGGCGTGATGGTGCGTGCGTGTAGTCTCAGCTACTTGGGAGGCTGAGGTGGGAGAATTGCTTGAGCCGGAAGGTCAAGGCTGCAGTGAGCCATGATCATGCCATTGCACTCCAGCCTGGGTGACAGAGCAAGACCCTGTCTTAAAAAAATAATAATAAAATTCCAGGTTCCATATTAGTTTGCATTTATTTTTGCATCTGTCTTCTTATTGTCCCTTTGTCTGCTCTTTACTGGAATTCCTAATATACCTTGGTGAACAGCTCTGTGGG